AAACAATTCGTATTTCGATAACTGAGCATTTACAAAATATATACTTATGCATTATAAAGTTATGCATCGAAAGTCAATTTTAATATCTAAATTTATATAATATTTATCGATTTTTTGTCAATTTTAATTTTCGTCCATATTTTTCATCTATGCTGATATATGCGTATATATATATATATATAGCCCATTAAAAATCTTGCTAATTTCTTTCATTTTATTATTGATAAAATTAACATGCTTTAATATTTAATATATTTATTTATTTGTATTTGAAATCAAATTATTTATTATAATTCTAAATATTTATAATTTATTACGAATTAAAAATTATTATAATTTATTTATGGTACAGAATATACAATATAATTGTTTATTATTTTATCATTTTACATACTTTCTTATATATTAAATATATTAAATAATTTTTTTCCTCATACTATTTAAACTTTAATGTCTTTAATTTCTTGAGTATATCTTTTTGATTAAATATCATTAAGAATGGAAGTCTCTTACAGTGCACATACTATTAATTTATTATTTAATGTTTTGTTGGCCTTGTTTGGAGTTATAAGTTGTTTTCATTAGAAAAACTTAGTTTCGAACTACTTATTTTCTTATTTTACATCTTCTAATGAAGTATAGCTAAACTAATGATTCATGGTATTTTCAATATGTCTTTTCCATTTAACTTTAATTTCTCTTTATTACTTAAATAATAACATAACTTGCTATTAACTTTAAATTATAAAATTCTTATAATTTTAGAACATTAAATTATAAAGTATTATAAAGTAAAAACACAAATTGATGTCAATTTCTCATTTATATCTGTAACTCTAATTTCTATATAGTTTGAGAATAAAATTCGATTAGCCAAGTATACGTGGTGTATCGCAATGATAAAACCACATGTGTGTACAATAGTCCACATTATCCTAACAAATGATTCAGTAGCACGACCTGTATATCTTATCACACCGATGGCGATATTTACTATTGTCAGACATACGCACAGGATTTTGGGGTTGATTTTTAAATTATCACCCATTTTTTTTCTCCACAAGTTGTGAACTTATGCAATAAGTTTTCATATAAATTAAATTTGAATCATATTATTAAATTATCCTTGATATTCAGTTGATATTTGTTTTTAAAAAAATGGCTGTTTCACGTACTAAATATATAGTAAAAAAATTAATTAATCTGTAAATATATGTATTATTACATATATATATATATATATATAAACTAAATATTATGAAATATGTAATTATTAATGTAGTATTTTTAATTATTAATACAAGCATATCGCTATACAATTTCCAATTATTAAAAAAAAACTATTTTGTTAAAAATTTCAAGTTAATTTAAGGATTACTAAGAATCTTACTAATTCTTACTATAGGTCTATTTTAAGAATATAAGAATATAATACTTGTGGATTAATAATCTGTGAACAATAGATAATTATAACATGCGACAATATTAATATATTAACAGTAATGCTTATTTTCTTAAATAATCATATTCACCATTTTAATATATTTTGCATTATAATAAGAGGACAAAAATCGTTGTATCAATAAAATAAAACATACAATCTCTTTCATACATTTCTATACAGAAAACATATTAATAAATAAAAGAAAGTTGTAATTACAGAATATTTTGTGAAAACCCTTGATTATAAAATATAATAGGTTTAGTAGATACATAACAATAATAGAATATAAAGCATAACCTTTAAGTAAAAGTAGTTTTTAGCTTAATGTATTCATGATAAATGAAAGTCTAGTACATTATAATTTTCAATCAGCAGCGCTTATTAATGGATTATTATAATACAGTGAAACTTACATCAGAAACATATTTAATCGATTTCAACATTTTGTCAACACATGTATGTCCAAATCAATAAAATAAATATCTTTTCAATATGTCAACGCTACTATACATAATATCTCATATGGTATTGTTTTCCGTAAAAATCATATTAAAATAATTTTATTATGATTTAAAAAAAAACATTTTTTTTTATAATTGCAAAACCATTTAAAATAATAGTAAACTAAGTTATAAATAAAAAACTTTATGTACATTTATTACATATACCATATGTCATATCAATATCTATGCTACTGGTAAACAATTATACTATATTTTGTGTAATTATACTTATTACACATACATTTAGTTAAACAGTTTATTAAAATAATAAAATTAAACAAATAGTTGTTACTGAAAATATGATTTAAAAGTAATTTTTATCGTATACATAGATTGTAAATTATTATATACATTTATTACCATGTATACATTTTAGCTTATACTCTTTTATATGAAATGATTAGTATTTTATTCATTTATTATTATAATCTTAATATTACATTTGTAACTTTATTGAAATTTTTTATATATAATTAATATTAGATACTAGTATAATTACTTTACAATATAATTTCAAAATAATATTGCGATGATATATTGAGTTTATATTATATACGTTTGATAATATTATAATTTGCTTTTTGTTTTTTAATTTTTTGTTACAATCATCTAAATATTTGTATCACACCAGCAGATTTTAGTAATTAATAATATCAATTGTACTAAAATTCAGAATTTAGAATTCAGCTGAAAATATTACCTATTAAATAAGAAAACTCATTAACAATTATTATTTTAATATATCATATGTTTAAGGTATTATGATATTAAGCTAAATATTATCATTGATAATAAGGTATTTAAAATATATTTTAATCTGTGAATATATTGTGAAATTAATATTCAATTTGGTTTAGTAAGTAACCAATATTTTAATTGTAAAAATGTTGTATTTGTTTTCTTATATTCTTATATTTTTATATTTTTAAATATAGATATAGATAAATGAAACGTACATCCAAATTATAGTCTTATTTAAAAAATCCATTTAAGTATATATATTTTATGTTATACCAAATAATATTTTTATTAAAAAATTGTATATATTGTTGGAATAAGAACATGTATCTATAGATTTGCAATATTTAGATAATTTTCAATATAATAATACTTGACTCATGCACATGATATAAGATCAATGTATAGAAATGGCACTGTATTTTAATGTTTTTATAAAATTTTAAATAAGAATTCCAATATATTAAATAGAACATTATATTCATAATTAATTATTTGAATAAGTATAGATTTTATAATAATAAAAAGATACATCAGACTTTATCAATCCAATAATTTAAAAGCATTTAACGTTAATCATTATTAATAACATAGATTATATAAAAAAAGTTCATTCTTCAGTCCAGTAGTAATTTCTTTATATATTTTATAATTTTTTCATATATTTCCATTATATATTTAAAAAAATTTATAGTTTTTTATAACGTTCTGAAAAATTTAAATGTATTTTATTATAATATATAATAATAACATGTAAACATGGTTGATTTGTTCGAACAAATTTCATAATTTTTTTACATAAATTTTCTTTACATATATCCTTCATTTTCTTGACATTAATATGTGATCATAGCCTATAATATATAGCCTATAATATATATGATTTTCATAGTACCATGGAAATTTGAAATAATTAGAGATGTTATGAATATATAAAAATAAACAAAAATTTTTTGTGTTTTCTATTTTTTTTTGCGTATAAAAAGGGTAAATACGATTAAAGAAAAAGAGAGGTACAAAAGCGCAAGTCCACAATATCCTCAGGATCGATTCTAGACACAGCAGGGAGGCTCCTCCCACCCGGTCGGCCATCTTGCTACCGGCCCTCAGGCTCACTATATCACATCACACTTGGTTGCATTCGAGATTCTTTCGTTTGTCTCCAAGGGTCTAAAACAAGCCTTAAGATTAGCAAATATCGAGATTCTCCAATCTGTTTTTTTTTTCTATATTATGCAGAAATAAAAACTATAAAAATTTGCTAATTTAATGAACTGCAATCTATACTTTTGAAATTAATAAACTCTTGATTTTTATATTATAAGTTAAACAAAATAAGTCAGGCCATTATAAAATACAATAGAATCAATTTTTTATTTTCATATATAATAACTTTAAGAATATATGGTTAATATATTATTGATTTTTTAAATTCCTCTCTAAAATAGTTAAAGAATAATTCAAATTCAGCTTAAATTGATCTTTCAAAAATAAATGAACATTTTATTTTGACTTCATATAGGTTAATCTAGTTTATGAATTATGTTGTAAAGAATTGCAATTTTAATTTAATGAATAAGAAATATCAAAATGCACATATAAAAAAATATACAATTTTAAATTGACAATAATGCGGATAATTAATATTATTGAATACTTCATATGGAACGAATTAATATTATAATAGAAGAGTAAATAGTATCTAAAGATTAATTAAATTGTGATATATTTCGTTACCGTTTAGTCTATGCTAGTTCTTTATAAAGATTGTATATTTATTTAAAATTAATATTCTTATAGAATTTAAGGAAAAAATACTAATGTAATTATAAATATCTAGGAACATTCGAATATTTAGTCATGTATCATTTGAAAATTTTCCTTGGATTGGTGATATTTTCAATAAAATAAGATTGATTACATAAAGGTTATCGATTAAAACTATATAATAAAAAATATTTTTTAATGGAATAAAATAGAATTTTTTAAAATGTTCTTTATTTTATATAATATTTTTTACAAATTGTATAATTTAAATGATAAATTATAAGATTAGACATTTAAACTTTTTTAGAAATTTTTAATAATTTGGTAAATAGAACTAGTGTATTTAAAAAGATAATTATTTAAATAATTAAAATATATTGTATATTATATATATATTATATATATATTATATATAATATTATATATATTATATATGTATATAACATATTGTATATATATTGTATATATATTTCATTATCTTTATGTGCATAAATTTTCAATTCTTATGTAAACAGTATTCAAAAGATTTTTACTTTGATTTCAGATTTTAAAGTATTGCGATCATCTGCACGGAAAATGGTATTTTTCGGAAATTCGAGCAATTTTTTCACGCCGATATTTGTTGCAGAATATTGCAATCGAAATTTTTTTAGCAAGTCGAAGTAAGTATTATTAAAATTTGTATTTTTTACAGAAATAATAAAATAATTGAAATAAATAAGAGTTATAGAATTTTAAAAACTTGTTTTAAAAAATTTCTTAGCAATCCGAAAACATTATCTTGTTTTAAATCTTGTTTTAAATCGTCTTACAAAACCCAAAGCTTATAATTAAATTGTGTATCTTCGTTATTATTTTTTTAACGATAAGTATTTGTATAACATGCAATCGGTTATTCTGAGGATTCCATAAATATTCACTTTAATTTAGAAATGATTATAATTCCATATTTCTATAATGTTTTAATTTAATACGAATGATTAAAAATATTTAATTATTTCAAACAAATTTAACCTTTAATAATAGTTAAAGCTATAAACAAATTTCGTTTTTATTTTGCGAATTAATTATTTAGTGAAAAGTCATATTATTTTGAATGGAGAATTCAGATAAAAATGTCTTAGACATTGTTAAATACTTACTATAATTATTGCATAATATTATTCTATTATAATTAATAGTACAACTTAAATAAGAACAGATAATTGCTATTTATTTGTTGCAATCGAATAAATAATAAATATAATTAATATCTTAAAATTCATATATTTAATGTGGAATACATGAAAAATTATAAATATTTTTAAGTTACATTAAACATTTAGTATACTATGTTTTTTTTTATACAATATTTTTTTTTAATAAAATTAATATTTTGCATTTAATATCTGTTAAAAGTTGCTACGTCATAATGAAAATCGATTAAAGATAATTTTATGATGACTAAATTAAAGCCATGAATTACCTACAAAAGATGTTTCAAGTGTAGTTTCAACTTCCTTCCATGTAAATTAGGTATATACCTGATCGACTCGTAAATTTCAGTTGATTTTAAAGATTCTAATCTATTTGGCTATGCAATAACTTCAAATATTGTTTGTTTGTTTGTTTGTTGTGTAGCTGGTGCGCGTGTGTGCATGCGGGTTGTGTAGGCTCATATAAGCATGTGTAAGATTTCGAGTTAGCGACAGTTTCACGACGCGTGGATATCATCAAGGGATCTCAATTTATTCTATTATACAATCTGTAATATTTTATTTTATACTACTAAAATTTAAAAAATCATTGTTTATATAATGTAATTTTTCTCAAGATTTAGTAAATAAAAATATATATTTTACCATTTATAATTTAGTTCTTTTTTGATGTTTTATTATGGTTTGATGAATATCACTCGAAATGAATGGATCAGATCGAACACTTGAATTAAAATTTAATTTTATGGGGGGAAGTTATCATAAACTGCTTTTGCACATGCAATCGACTAGTGCTTCAATTTTGTAAAAAAAATTGCTGTCTCTAATGCAGTTTGTTATATTTAAATAGTATTGCTTATACATTTATTTCTAAAACAAATATATTTAAAAAAATTAAATAATCATTTAATAATCAAAAGAACTATTTTGGTTTTTATGTCAATATAATTTTATTAATAAAAAAAATTTAATTAAATTGATGATGGTATGAAACTTGTCACCTTACTTATTCTAAGAATAAAATATAATATTTTATAATTATATTATCATTATAGTGATAAAATAATTTTAAATTTTAATTTTAATTTTAATTTTAATTTGTCAAAAGTAATTATAACATTATAATTTTATAAAATAAATAAGTGTAACATTTATGCAGCCATAATTTAATATATATATATGTATATATAATATTCAAAATATTTGATTTTGTAATTTATACTTATAAAGATATTTTTTTTTATAACTGAAGTGTTTGGTATTATTGGATTTAAAGTATAAATTTGAATTATTGGTAGGATTTGTATAATGATTTTTCATTATGAAATTTTATATTTGTAAATATTTTTTATATTTAAAAGTAAATTTTTTTTCAAATAAATTTGCTTAAATATGTTATTCATACGAATAGATAATAATAATTTTTAACTAAAAATTAAACTTGATTAAGTTTGTTTAATTGCTTGCAATTTTTAATAAATTGAAGTGAATATTAGAATTTTTTTAATAATAAATAATAAATACGGTACATAGCCATCTTCTAATATACATAATATACATTGTTTTTTATTTTTAGCTATGATCGATCATTATTCCTACATAAATATTTTGATTGTCCCTTAATTAAATAACGTATGTCTTTAATTTTTCTTTAGAAAAATTTACATTTAAAAGATATTTGTAAAATTGAAAAGAATACAATTATACTGTTTACTTTATTATTATTTTTTAAAGAACTAAAATTATGGTATCTCGTACACTCATTAGTTTAAATGTCTAATTTTATTAGCTGCTTTTTTATTTTTAAGCGTCGATCTTCTTCGTCTTTCCGGATCAGCCAACGGTGAAGAAGGTGATCAAGGCATTACCGCGAGTCGGCGTCGGCATCAAATACGGAATCCCACAGACAAGGTAGGTCCGCCAAGGAGAATTTACATTCGCTGAACTAAGGTGACTGCGATTGCCTTACTAACGCAGAAACCCTTGGCTCGTGAATCCGGTCTACTTTTAAAAATTCAAAGGGAAACGTGCTCCATACATTCCAACACTGCCCTGTTCTCTTTGTCCCTTTCCACTGGTTGGACAGACATAATCGTATGCTTTCTTCTTACTATTCCGCTCTAGCTGATTCTTATCTCTATTCTTACTTACCGCCTGCAAAATGAACCTTTTTGCCAAATTTTATTTAAAATTTTTCTTAGATTAGTTTTAGTTCCAATATTATTATTCATAACATTTGAATATTAATAAAAATATATTTACATTTAGAAATATTAATAATATGGAATAATACTCATTGCTCATAAACAATTTTTAATTAATATACTGTATATCTATATTTATATGGTTATATATAGTTGTTTAATTAAATTGAATGCCAGAATTTTTTACATAAAAATCTATCATTAATGTTGAGTACGATAATGATCGTAATTTATATTTTTATATTTTCGATAATTTCAATCAAATGTCATAAAATAGACAATCTTACAGATGTATTATGTATATAAATCTTTTTTTTTTTAATGAAAGTTATGCTTATATATTTTACATTTATTTACATTTAGTGATAATTGCCTTAATTTCATTAAACAATGCATAAATAACATATATTAATATTTTTATAGATAGATAAAAGAAGAAATAAGAAAAAACAAATTTTGTACATTTTTGGTAGAGAAGCATATATAAATTCCTTATCTTTATTAATATTATTTGAATCTTCATGAAAAGCATATATAAGTAATAAACATGCACAGTTTTTGATTTTCTTTTGCCCCTCCTCACATCGTTCGTCAACTTTTATCTACTTTAGATCTTTCTTATATTCATTTTCTTCCACCCCTTCTTGGTTCTCTCTCCCCCTTTTTATCTCTCTCTTCTTTCTGTTCCATCCTTTCCTACTTCTCAAGAAATATTCTGAGGAGAAGCGGCAAGAACAGACGCCCTGCGATTTCGCGTTACTCCTTTAGACCATCCATTAAATGCACGTGATGAGGGAGAGAAAGAGAGTGAACAAGATAAAGATAGAGGCAAACACAGATAGAGAAAGAGGGGGAGAGAGAGAGAGAGAGAGAGAGAGAAAGAGAGCAAACGAGCAAGAGAAAGTTCGCGAAAGATACGACGACCATAAATATGCGACCGCCAAGCTCGACATCTCTCGTCGCAGGGAGATTCCTAACCGACGAAAATAATAAAATATTATTTTTTTCATTTGTTTTTTCTTGGAAGGGGTGATTTTATGTTTGACTTTTTGTCTTGGTGTATTTTAAATTCTATGACGAAAGTCTCATAGTTTTATTATAATATTTTTTCACAAAGAATTTTGATTGATACTGAATATATAATTTATACCATAGTTAGATTTTAATAAGCATATTTTTATATATTTATAGCTTTATACTTGAGATTTCTATAAACGAATTATAAAAAAATATATAATAATTCAAAAATCCTTCGAATTACTTGTCTTAATATATTTTTATAAAACAGTACATTTTTATTTAAGTATTCACAACTTTCACTTTTATTAATTATTTTAAATCATTTTTAATAAAATTTTGTATTTTATAAATTAAATATAAAAACTATATACATTACAAAAAACAAATTGGTTCTATCTAATTAGAATAAACACTTTACTCTAAAATGTGATTTGTCAATATATATATATATATATATATATATATATTACTTTTAAATTTAACTCGTAAAGCGAATTATAAAAATAATATATATATATATAAAATTTACCTAGTGAAAATAAGCTATTAAAGCTAGAAAGAATGTTAAATATATCACAGTTTCTTAATCAGGTTATTGACACTACATGAAATTCGTCATAAGCCTATTGAAATCTACAGATCTACGAAACATAGCTGACATACTGTTATGAGAATGGATAATTCCGAAACAATTAGTGCATATTTGTTATACATCTTTATAAAATAATGTAAATACACATATTTCGTTTGTTTTTATATGAATTATATATGTCGCCATTAAAAGACGCACTTATAAATTCTAAATCGAAAATTTTATTTGCTCAAAGTTCATAAACCCATAACGCGAAAATTTATGGCGTTGAAGCTCTCTTCCTCCCTTTTCTCAAATGCTTTTTTTTAATAATTGAATCAGGAAAATAAGTATCAAATTATGTAAGTGTGTTTAATCAATTGCGATTTAATCAATCGTAATTTAACGATTAATTTAAAGACCCGTTTTCTCGATTAAAGAGAAATAATTATATTAATAGATATTTGACTTTATAAATTAGAAAAATTGACAATTATTAATTAGATAATTAGATAAATAGATAATTATTTTAATAATCATATAGATAGATAATACTTTTTCATTTTCGCAAGTAAGCAATGTAATACAAAAAATCAAATTTTGTCATTATAGTACGATATAATGTAATATAATGTAATAAAAAATTTTATTAAGCTATAGCTATAAATAAGTATACAGGTACATAAAAATAAAATAATTTCTTTTTTATCGATACATTTTTCAAGACAGAAAAGACAGAGGAAACATTATGAAAATTGATTATACAATAAAATTAAATAAATCGTCTTCTTTATAGATAACTAATTTATTAATATTCATATTAATATTAATTTAAGAACAGTCTCGCGTGAAAATTTAATGATATCATGAAGCATTTAAAGAGCTGTAATTTAAAACAACAGGTATTACCATAATCGTAATTATTGTACTATAGAGATGCTTAATTTTTTGTTTGTTAAAATTTACTTCATTTTTATTTATATAGTTAAATGCTATGAAAATATTATTGTACGTTATAACAATTATATATAAATGTTTTTATATATAAAAAAGTAATGAATAAAAATTATTTTAAGAATAGATTTAAAATGAACAATTAATTAAAAATAAAATTTTTAAAAAATTTAAATTAAATTAAAATGAAAATTTAAAATTGTACAATAAATCACTTTTATAAATAAATATTATTTTATTGTGAAATTTTGTATTTGAAGTATAAGGATTTCTTATTGCATAAGAAATTAAATATATCAGAAATGTAAAAATTTCTGCAATTATTTTATATACAAAATATAATTTTTACATTATATTAAAGTAATAATATTTTTATTCATATATAATATGGAAATACATACACATACGCGCGCGCCCACATACACACACACACATACATTTTTTTTAAGAAAGGATAATTTTAATTTTAATTCAAATATTATTTTGCATAAATAATAAATAATTACATTTTTAAATTCACTTGATAAAGCAAAAATATTTTTCCTAAAATTAATTTTTTCAATTTCTAAAAAGAACTTCAATTTATATATAATACATTTATAAATATGTTTATAAATATTTATCAATAATACATTTATAGACGAGCATCTATGATGTCACCTCGCCAATTGATGAGAAATTCAAATATGACGCAAAAATGGCAGCGTCGAGAGATCAACAATTTCGAATATATTATGTTCCTGAATACAATCGCCGGTAAGATTTTAATATATTTACATTATTATAACTCACATTTTCAATATTCATAATATTTATAAGCTAATTCAATAAATCTCTTATAATTTTAATTAATCTACACTAATGTGCATTAATTAATTGCAGTATTTAAATATAAGTGACGTTTAAAACCATCGATTTTGATTAAATTAAAATATAATTTATAATAAATTATTAAGCAATTATTACAATATATAATAACAGTTAGGTTTTTATATTTTATGGATTTATAAATTCAAATCTATTTGTAAAAATAAAAAAATTTAATTATTTTTGATAAATCTGTAGTAAATATTGGTATCATTTTTTAATTGTAAGCATTCATTGTATGTATTAAATAAGATCTTTGTAAGATAAATTTTTAAATATTTTCTAATAATCTAGTAACAAAATATATCTATTTTATAAAAAGTATTATTAAATATCATTAAATACTATACAATATATTAAAATAATAAATATTATTTCAAGAACACAGTATAGTTATAAAAAATATTAATTTAACGAAATAATTTTGTATGGATTTTTAAGGATATTAAGAAACAGAGTTGTATAATCATTTATATATATATACTACAAATAATTTAATTACGAGAGTAGAATATCAATAGCTTTTAATGGTTGTGTAAGTATAAAAAATAATTTACTCCTGTAGTTTAATATTCATAATGGATTAAAAATTATGTAAGGTACTATATTTTCGGAATTTAGTTTTTATTTATAAAATGTATATATAAGAATTTCAAAAAAGTTTTTAATAAATCAAGAAAATGCTAAAGAATCAAAGAAATCAAAGAAAGATCGAACAATCAAAGAAAGATATTTGATTAAATAAAATTTAACTAAAGTTTGGATAATGGAAATATAATTACCATTAAATAAGCCGAATGTAAATCGAACGTCATATAGTTCTTATATTAAATTAAACATTTTTTTTGGCAAATAGGTTAATATTATATTTTAATCAACAATTATCTATTAGCAATAACAAAAAATTAACTATTAAAAAACAAAAGAGATTAGGCTTAATATTTAAAACTATTGTACTAAATATATATATATATACATAAGCACATCTCGTTTCACGTTGAAAATAATGCGGGAGGCGACATTGGGCTTTTTGTAATGATGTGCAGTATGGTGCACGCGCGGATGGAGTCTGTCATGACGCATTAGGGATGTTCTCAATCAGACAGTGCTCTTACTCTCGTATCTTAACCGTTGCTTGATGTAGAATCGACCCCTAGTAATCCGTAGTATATAACCCGACTGGATCTATTCTCAATCCGCTCTGCCAGTAATCTTCTATCCCGTATGTCTCATCCCCTTACGTTCATTCCTCGACTTCTTTGTCTCTCCAATATTCGCTCTAATACGAGAGCTTCTACTTTCGTTCCTCTTTTATACGTAATGAAGTATTTTCAGTATAGTTCTTTTTTCTTGAGAACTCATCAAATAGTATAAATGGAAAAAATAGGGAGAAAAATAGATGAGAAACGAATGGTAAGAGGTCCAATCAGACTGTCTAATTACCCTTATTGTGTTACATTATCAGACGATGGAAATGTTACTAATATTATGATTATGAAAAATGACTAAATTTAAAATCAAATGCAAGATAAATCATTAATTTATCTTGAATTCCAAAATAATAATTATAGTTTTCATAAATTTAATATGGTAATGTGTACATTTTGTAGAATAATCGATAAATTCATGTTTATATATGAATATCCAGCTGCTTAATATATTAATTTGTAATTGTATTTTATATGGTTTTTTTTATTTAATATGTTTTATTATTATCAAACAGATTTTAATATGTTTTAATTTTTGCAATAATTTAAAAATAAATTAAATAACATTGAATGAAAACTATATTTATAGTACTTGAACTTCATTTTGAAACAGAATTACAATGCTATATATAATTTTTACTCTTTTATGTCAATGAAAACTTCAATTAATTTTCTTATCTATTTACTTTTACATCAATATCGTAAGTTTTAAAAATTATTATAAAAATGACTATAGAATAAAGTATTTAAAAATATACTACTATGATTTAACTTCATATTTTAGTACTTAAAAAGATTTTCAAATGTTTTCAAAATTTACATTTTAATAAATAAAGATTATAAACAAAATTAATAACATAAATATTATTCATTACATTGTATTTTAATTAATTAATTAATTAACAAGATACTAAAAATTTTATTTAATATATGTTAAGATGATTATATTAGAAATATTAAATTTGTACTTTTAGAAATATTTGTTCAATAAAAATTTCATACCTTTTATAAACAATAATTCTTCGATATTGCACTTTCTAATGTTGCTAATGTTGTCCAATGTAATGTTTATGTTTTACTCTTCTAAGATTCCATTTCATAAAAACATAATAACGCTAATGGGAAATTAGAAAGCAGAAAATTAGATTTTGTTAATTAATATATCCGAGGGTATTCTATTAAGCTAGATTTACAAATTGACGCTTTAAAGTTTTAATTTTACACTGAATGACTTAAACAAAGAACTAACAAAATTTTTTAAACTAACTTTTAATTACTTTGTGTTACTTAAATTATTTTTAAAAACTCACGACTTTGTTTAAACAAAGTTGTTTAGAATTTACATATTTATTTTTTATAAATATTCCTCTATATTTGTTGATGTGATTGACAAAAAATTTAAATATCTGAAAATTAAGCCCATAATAAGTATGCAGGTAATAAAAACTAATTTATAATAATCAATAAAGATAGTTTTAACACAACAGTGTATTCGTACATAATGATAATATTAATTATAGAAATGAAAAACATTATTGTAATAAATATAATATTTAAATATAAAATTTAAGCAAATCATGGTTCTAAATATTTTATATTATATTTTAATATATTTTAATCAACCAGTATACAAATAAGTTTATGATTCGTTATGAGGCTCATAAATTGACTAATTGAGTAAAGTAAAATCAATCGAAATAAAATAATATACTCGATTTTCGTCACAGAATTTGTCAACAAATATAATAAATTACAGTGCAGTAACATAGATTATCGTTATCAATTCGTATGTACACACTTAATAAATAATATATATATATATATATATATATATAACATAAACATTTAATAACAATAATAATTGTTTTTACAAAAATTTATTTCTCATATATAATTATACTACATTATTATGAAAATTTATAAGTTGCGAACTAAAAAATTAAAAATTATTTTGAAAAGGGCGGTTGATTTTTAATTATATATTTGTAAATTCTTATGCTTTAATTTCTGTTTGAATAGTATATCTCAAATATTTAAATTTATATCAATTTCAAAATAAATATTAATAGTATGATTTCTATTATTATTCGTAGTTTGAATGTTTTGAGTGTTTATTCTATATTGTTTTAAAAAGCGTTTAATAAATATTTTGAAACTTCGATAAATAAGTAAAAACATCAGACAAATATATCTTTAATATGTTTCTGTAATATTTTATACTTTAACTAATTTGCATTTTTGATTATATATTTCTGTACTTATTTTATACACAGAGGATACCCATACTAAAGTTTAAAATAATGAATATTTTTAATATACGTTCAAAGATTAAAAATGTAATGAAGTAGTATAGGGACAATGGGATCATTAAACATAAAAGAGGGTAAAAATATAAGAGCAAATACATAAGTTCTGATTTCCTGACAACTTACGAAGCACTTGCGTAAAAGACGTTAATGAGGCAATTGAAAGGAGATGTGTAATTACATAAATTTCAGTATGGGGCTACGATGTTGTGTAGTCATATA